ATCGTGGGCAGAGCTGAAGTAAGGACACTGCATGGGGTACCTTGGCCATGAGCACACATGGTCAGGGGTGGAGACAGGAGTCAGCCTTGACCTTCTGACCCAGCCCCCGAGCTTTCCCCATTTGCCTCCAAGGCCTCAGGAGCTCACCTTGAATGTAGCTCAGGGCCATGGCCAGCTCTGGCCACAGGAGGGAGGTAGTCTTGGGGAGTCCAGCATTCAGCCCACGGGAGTGGCCGTGGCCTGCTCTGGTCCCACAGTTACCAAGCAACCTTCAGTCCCCCAGGGTCACCCTGGCTTCCTGCCTGGAAGGCTTGGATAAGCCTCACTGAGACCCCAGTGTCACTGCCTTGAGGGGGAACAGAGCCCGGCCCGTGACAGCGACACATCCCATGGGTGACGCCCTCGGACATCTCTTTCCCTGATGCTGCCTCAAGGCTGCCGGCTGCCAAGCCTCCCTTCCCTGTTTCCGCATCCGCCCGTGCTGGGTACTGCACAACTTTCCATCATTTACTAGAGATTTCCCAGATCACACTTGCCCTCTGCTATCCTTTTCGTCCTTTCCAGCTCCCTGACTCTCTCTGGTCTCCCCTCCTTCTCCTCCCAATGTATTTCGGGGCCTCCTGCCCTAGGACATGCTGCCAGGTTCCCCATGTGCCTCCCGGCTTTGCCTTCGTGCCCCGCTCTGCCCTGCGCCACACGCTGGATTCCCGTCAGTGAGAGCTGAGCCCCAGCTGCCGCTTTAAGGTCACGCCTGAGACTTAGGAAAACCTGCAGAAAAGCACAGCAGGGAGGCTTGTATCTGCCACTGGAGGTGGCCACACCCAGAGCCCAGAACCCAGCACACCTTGGGGGGGAGACATCTCCCCACCCATCTGGTGCAGGTCCTCTAGTCCGTAAGGCCTCTCTGCCCTTCGGGGAAACCCCCACCCCTCCACGGCCAGAGCTGTGGTTGGCCCTGGACCTCACCCGCGACCGCTGGCTTACTGGACGCAGTATGTGCCCCAAGTCAGAGCCATTCCGTCTTAAACGCACCATCCATGAGAATCAGCTTTGGACCCTTGGATCTCTGATTCTTTGGACCCTTGGGCCACCTGCATCTGGCCCCGTCAAGTCTGATTCCTGCGGATCTCTCCTCAGTTCTGTGCGCCCCCCCCCCCCCCCGCAGTCCTCTGCGAGTCCTGGCTTAACCGAGAAGCACACACACACAGACACACACACACACACAGCTGCACGCCCTCACCTGCACGGAGGTACCCCCCGAGCTGTCCTTAGAGACGAGGGCTCTCTCAGGGGGACACGCTCTGCAGAGACGCTTGTGTGACTGTGGACGCCCCCCGGAACCCCGTCCCAATAGCCTCCCCTCACAGGGAGTATCTTGGTTACACCTGCTCCACGATGGCCCCCAGAACGAAGGTGAACTCGGGGCCCCTCCACCGAGCAGAAGTGACTTCGGGCTTTGATGTGACAGCGCTTCGAATCTTCCCTCCCAGACTTCAAGGTGCAGAGGGCCACAAGTAGGTTGTAGCTCACGATCAAGGCGCCATGCTGTCCTTCCTGTAGTGGCTTTGTGAGGAGGACACGTTCTGCGGGCTCTTGGCTTGTGGTGGGGGGGGCGGGCAGAGGAGGCTCAGGCCCGGATTGGGCAGAGGGGCATCTGCTCGGCCTTCGGCTTCAAGCTCAGGGCGTCCACCCTGCCCAGCCACCCACCCTCCCTTCAATGCCCGTTCACGGCTCTGTGTCCTAGGCTCCCTAGCAAAGCCGGCTGTGGGTGGACAAAAGCAGGAGGGGGCCGTGACGGTAGCTGCAGGGGGTGCTGCTTCCACAAAGCGCTGTTCTTACGGATCCTGAGCCCCCTGCCCCCTCGGCAGCGGGGTTCTCGCGGTGAACCCAGCTGCCTCCTTTCCTTGGCCCTGGGAGGTCGCTGTCCATGGCACCGGGATCAGCGGAGGGCGGTTCGGCGTGGGAATCTCCACCACCATTTCCACACGGTTCCTGAGAGCTGATGCCGGTGTCTCCACCCCGAGACAGCTCCGCAATACTGGGCTCTCCTCGTGATCTCTTAACAAAATCCCTTTTACCTCTGCCGGTCTCCACAGTCACCTGCCAGGCCTCAGCCCTTTCAAGCATCTTTGCAATTAGCGCCTACTTGTGGCAACTTGCCATTAGGCGGGGATCTTTCTAGTGCAAATGTCATCAGGATCCCGTAGCAGCTAGGTAGCATAAATATCATGACTTTCAGCTTCACAGGGTCCCCGGAGAGAGAGTCAAGAGGACTGTGCAGCCCATGGACCAGCACTGTGCCTGCCAAATGCTCCACGGGGGCCGATATCCCCAAGGAAGGTCAGCCCTTGTCCCCCCAGGGGACGTGGCCCAGATATGAGGTAGCCGCTGGGTCAGCAGGAAATGGCTGTTGTATCGGTCTTCCTGGGCTGTCTTAACAACACACCATCAACTCTGACAACAGGAATTTATTTCTCACTGTTCTGGAGCCGGGAAGTCCAGGGTCGAGGTGCCAGCGGGGTTGATGTCCACTGAGGGCTCTCTGCTTGGGTTGCAAATGGCTGCCTTCTTTCTCCCTGTGTCCTCACATGGCCTTTCCTCGGGGCATGCAGGTGGAGAGGGAGAAAGCACTCTGGTGGCTCTTCACGTCAGGGCACTAATCCTATTATGAGGGCACCAACCTCAGGAAGCCATCTAAAACTAAGTATCTCCCAGGGCACCCAGGTGGCTCAGTCAGTTGAGCATCCGACTTGGGCTCAGGTCATGATCTCACAGTTCATGAGTTCAAGCCCCACATCGGGCTCACTGCTGTCAGCACAGACCCTGCTTCGGATCCTCTGTCCCCCTCTTTCTCTCCGCCCCTCCCCCACTCACTCGCGCACATGCTCTCTCTCTCTCAAAAACAAACATTTAAATAAATAAATAAAACTGAGTATCTCCCAAAGGCCCCATCCAAATACCATCATACTGGGGGTTAGGGCTTCAACATATGGATTTGCAGTGGGGGGTGGGGGGCACATATAGCAATTGTCAAGGAACAAGGATGTCCCCAGCTAGCCCTTGGTACCCAGGCCAGAACTGGGCTGTAGTTGAGACTGTGGGGAATTTAGGAGAAAGAGGTGGCCCCGGGGCCAGCACCCAGGAGTTCACATTCTCCAGGAGCTCTGGATAGGTGAGCAGGGTCCACATGTGCAGAGCCATAAAGGAAAACTCAGATTTAACCCGGGAGAGTCAGACTCGCTCCGCAGGCAGTTAGTGAAGGGACGGGTCACAGCAAAGACCTCTGGAGTACTGGCCCTGGGTCTTCAGCCCCTTGGTGGTCAGCAGGTCTCCTCTGCTGGGCCTCACGAGGTCTGTAAAAGGAGCCAGGGCCTTGGGAAACAGCTCCAGTATCATGGGGGCGGTCGGACAAGATGGAGGGAGAGGGTGCAGCTGCTATCGCGGAGAACCAAGTCCCTGAGCAGATGCGGGGACATGCACTGAGCCAGACTCTGCAGGGTCCGGCTCCTGGCCACTCGGGCAGGCCCCGGCTCCGCTCCTGTGTCTGCTCACACTCGGCGTCCATGTGGCTGCTTCCGCCTGGGCCCTTCTTGGTCCCTCCGGCCAAGATTGTTGGGTCACCAGGCAAGGGGCCACCAGGGACCGGCTCTACACTGGAGCCAGTAAGTGCCCCCCAAGACCAGGTCACGCAGCATCCCAGGAATCGATTTATTTGGCAAATCCGATTAAACAAGTCATTTTCCACTTAATTGTGCTAGCTTTATACATGCACATATGACAAGTATGTCTCAGGTTTTTCCAGACTGGGAGGAAAAATAGGTCACATTTATGGCCAAATAACGTCCCCAAGCCTCCTTTGATGGCAGGAATTTCAGTGATTTCCACAACGAAGCTCAGCGTTCCCCAACTCGATACCACTTGCTGTGGGCGTGGGCCCTCGAATGCCTCAGCACCTGAGCCCTGACCCTGACCCTGACCTCTGTCCTTCCTGTGCCTGCTGGGCCTGACTGCTTGGCCTACAGTGTGGACCCTCCTGCAGAGCGGCCTGGTCTGAAGTGCTGGACCTGAGCCCACCCCTACGGACCCTGCTGAGTCCTCTGTGACTCATAGACCAGGATGGGTCCCCATGGAGAGACAGAAAAGGCTCGTGGGCTCCTCCACTGTGTTGGGATCAGTGGCGGGCGGGCGGTGGGGGTCTCCAAGGCTCACCCACAAGTCCACGGTTGCCATATCAACCTGAGCTCATAGGTCTAGCTTTCCCTCTCGCCTTCTCCATCACCCGGCTCGGGCAGGGTCATGCTGCCCCCGGGACAACATTTTATGTTTATGAACATCACAGGGGGTGATGGGTTGTCAGGGCCCTGCCATCAATTTTCTCCCAGGAAACCTGTCTGGCCCTATGTAAGTGGTAGATATAAGTGCCACATGTTGGACTCCCAGCTCCCAGTGCAAAGAGAGAAACTGAGGGAGAGGTGGTGACTGCACGTATCCATGGGCTCTGACCGCTCCCCGCCCCCCCCCGCCCCGCCACCAACCCCCGGCACCAATGTCCTGCTGGATGTAACAGCCTGGCTTTCTTAGAGCCTCTGTCCAGGATGGCCGCGAAACGGTGCAGGGTGTAGGCACCTCAGGGCAGCTTGGACTGCAGAGCCCCTGCCCCAGGCTACCGGTTCCTGGATGCCCAGTGTGTGTGTATGGGGGGGGGGGGGGGGGGCGGGGGCCTCTGGTCCTGGTCACGATCATTCCTCCACAGCTATTTCCACCCTTTCATTGACGCCATGTTCTCACCCTTCCCTCCACCTGACTACTGAGTTGGCTGGGGCGGAAGCAGGAGGCAGAGGGGCTCCTGCCCTTGGATGCTCTCAGCCGAGCTGGCGATTCTCAATCAGGAAGCAGCTCTGCCCTCCACGCTTCCTCTCCACCACCCCCCGCCGCTACCCCACCCCTTCACAGAGCCCTGTGGCTTCGGGCCTCACCTCGGTAATCACCCAGCCTCCGCCCCCGCCTCCTGGCAGGGTTATCGAAATCGCCCTCTTCGGCCACAAGCCACCTACCTTCCATCCACCCTTTGGCAGTGGAAGCCCCTTTCCCTCCAAGTAGAAAGTGGTTCTTTTCTTCCTAGAGACCTCCCCCTTTCTCACATTAGGTCTCATCCCTTACATCTCGTCCCACTCACTCCGTCTCGCAAAACCACCCCACAACCCATCCTTCTAGTCATTTTGCTCTCTGGAGCGGCGGCTATGTCCTCGCAAGGCTCACAGCCGCCACCGCTCCTCCTCCTCAGGGCCACTGGAGAGAGAAGCCCGGTCCAAACCGGGAGGCGGTTGTTTGGTCTTCGAGTAGGAACTGCCAGGGGCTCCATGCCATCGAGATGATTCCTCCCATTCCTGGCTGGCTCATTTGCCCCCTCCCGGCCACTGGAGAGGGACAGTTCTGTGGATAGTGGCTCCGAGCCAGCCGTCCTGGCAGGATTCAGGTGGGCAAGACAAACACATGTTCCTTATTCTCCTCTGGCTGAACCAAATCAAGCCTGCATCCTTAGATCAGCCTCTTCTAGGCTACATCATGATGGCAACAGGGGGTCCTTGGCCTGTCACCTTCCTTCCCCAGGTGTATCCAATCCCCTTGTGGCTCTCAGGTGTCACCAGTGCCTTTCCACTCTGTCCCCAATTCTTCCACAAAGCGTCCATAGCTTCGCCATGGCCTGGTTCACACCGGCTCCCCTCATCCTTCTGCAGCCTTGGGGAGGACACGGGAAGCTTTGGCTGGCTTCCCAGGCCCTTCTTTCCCATAGGAAACTTGGGGCTCTCTGTAGGTTCTTTCTCTGCCCCTCTCACCCCCACTTGCTATCATCTCTGTGAGGTTATTGGCCAACAGAGCCCCAGAAAGGATGGGGAGGTACAAATCTGCTCTACCCTGGGATCCCCAAATTAGAAAGGAGCTTGCTACATCCCTCCTGCTCCGTCTGTTCCCAGAGCATTTCCCACCATGACCAACCCTCTCGGGTCTCTCTCCTAACTCGTCTCTCTTCCTTTCCAGAACCTTCTAGTCTAACAGAAGGATGGGGAAGAGCTGGGAAACAGCCTTGCTCCGATGGTCTCCTCTTTCTCAATTCTTCTGCCTCATGTTTTTGAGCTTAGAAATAAAGAATTCACCCGTTTCTTGGGTCCTTCAGAGATTCCCAAATACTGGGTGATTCATGTCCAGTTGTCTGCATGCTGGGGAAAGCTCTTTGGAGCATAATGAGCAAAGACAGTGTTCAATGAGCATCACAAGGGAAAGCACACCAGCAAATGTGCCACATCGGTCCACCACATCAGAAACGTCAGAACGCAGTATCTGCTACTGGGATTTGGGGCTGGGGGTTCCTTCTTCTGTGTAGGTCTTTCCTTCCTTAGATCCTGCTGGTCATGGTATCCTGGCGGACGAGCTGGACCCTGGAAGGCCGGTGGGCCATGATGTCCGTGCGGAATTCTTTGATGACAAAATAGTAGCAGAAGACATCTAGGCAGCAGTTGATGTTGGAGAAACACATGGACAATTGCAAGAAAAAGCTGATGTTCTGCTTAGCTCTACACTCCACAATAAAGCCATTCCGTACCAGGAACTGCAAGAAGAAGCCCAAATGGACCGGAAGAAAGGAGACCACGAAGACAGCCAGGCTGGCTGCAATTGTCCAGATGCAGGCCTTCTGCTGGACCCAGTCCTCGGTGAGGCCCTGACGGCAGACCAGGATGTGAATGCTCCTGGAGGAACAGAAACCCATGACACCCAGGGGAAGAAGGAAGCCGAACACCTCAAGGGGGAAGAAGACCTGGGGACTCCAGGTGCCATCAGACATGTTGTGGAAGCATGTGTACTTTTCCACCTTCCCGTGGAAGCTGTAGATGGGAATACTCCCCGCCCACACGAGGACCCAGATGGTGCAACAGATCCCAAAGATCTTCCTGGGGGACCGGAGGTGGCTGACCAGGAACGGGTACCGGATGACCAAGAATCTATCCAGACTAATGAAGCAGATAGTGAAGACACTCCCGTACATGCTAACGAAGTAGAAGCACTCCACGAAGGTACAGACAGAAGGATGGGGAGCCCATACGTTGGACATCGCCATCTTGAACGGAAGGGACAGCACCAGCAGCAGGTCAAAGACTGCCAGGTTGATCATGTAGATGGAAGTGGCAGCATAATTTGGCCACCTCTTCTTCAGGAAGGTGCTAAAGCCTCGGATGGCCAGCACGTTGAGGAGGAGGCCCAGGAGGAAGGTGGGGATGTGGACCGTCAGCTGCACCGTCTTCATCAGCTCATCCACATCGCCGAAGGAGCAGCTCCGGCTTCTGTTTAGTTGCTGACTCATGTTCTTTCCTACAACACCAACAGCAGATTAGACGAAGTTCCTCTCGCTCTCTACAAGTGATGGATCCAAGTGACTTTGTCCCACCGCCATTCGTGCCCATTAAGTAACAATTAGAAAATGCAAGAAAACATTGCCTCTAATCCAGCTGCCCAGGTATAACCACTATTACCTTTTGCTGTGTATCATTCCAGACTCTCTCACACTCGCACACACACATGCACACGTGTGTGTCCCTTTTTTCTTTTACAAAAATGGAATTGTGTGTGAACATCTGTCCTTTTCTTCAATCGGAACTCTTTCTGTTGAAAGTAGTAATCACCAGGATGCCTGGGTGGCTCAGTTGGATGAGTGTCCAACTTCATCTCGGATCGTGATCTCTCACGGTTTGTGAGTTCCAGCCCCGTATCAGGCTCTCTGCTATCAGTGCGGAGCCAGCTTTGGATCCTCTGCACCCCACCCCTCCCCCGGCCCCACTCTCTGCACCTCCCCTGCTCACTCTCTCTCTTTTAAAAATCAAGAATCATTTAAAAAGAAGAAAAAGAAAATAGTAACAATGACGTAAACCTGACCCAAACTGGCTTAAGCAAAGCGAGAATTTCACACAGCTGAGAACATGAGAACTAGGGCAGGGCTGACGAGCTACAGCTTGACCGGGAACTCAAAATGCTGTTTCGGGGACCCAGACCCTCTTTGCATGCTGTCTGTCTGCTTCCCGCCACCCGCATCCCAGAAGGCTGGACAGAGCTGACCCCACCCCTGCCCGAAGGGCTGGTCACAGACACGGTGACTAGTTGTTCATTGGTTCAGGGATAGACATTTGACCCACCCAGAGAGGACAAAAAGCCACAGTAACTCCTACTTGGGTTTCTAGGAAGGGGGTTGGGGCTCTCTCTCAGTGGGACTTGACGTTGGAAAGACATAAAGTCTAGAGGTGCTGCAGCCCCTTGTTACATCAAGGAGAAAACCAGACAGAAAATGGAGAGACAAGGAAGAAAGGACATTCCCAGAGGGAATGTGACGGCTTGAGTTCTCCACGGGGCAAAGAAAGGCTTTTACACAGGTGGACAATTAGAGCTGGTCTCAAGGACAAGAGGACCAGGCTGCAGTGTGGCTGCACGGGGAAGCTGGTTGCCAACAGACAGAAGATCCCAAGTCAGGGCTTCCGATCAGGCCAAAGATGAGGGTCCAAGGCAGGCCCTGGCCAGGTCTCACTTAAGAGCTGGCCAAATTGGGGGGAGGGGGGCGGGTGCATGCCCTTGTGGCCTTCTGTATCGTGGTAGGTGACTGCCTTGGTTCAGTGGGCTGTGTAGCTTATAAACAGCAGAAATCTGTATCTCACAGCTCTGGGGGCTGGAAGTCCGAGATCAGGGTGCCAGCACAGTTGGGTGAGGGCCCTCTTCCAGGGTGCAGACTGCCAACTCCTGTGTCCTCACGTGGTGGAAAGAGAACAAGAGGGCTCTTCGGGGTCTCTTTTCTAAGACCACTGATCCCACCCACGAGGGCTCCGCCCTCAGGATTTAATCACCTCCCCCAAAACCCCACCTCCTAATGCCACCACCTTGGTGGTTAGATTTCTGCATTTGAATTTGGGAAAGGGAGGTTGGGACACAAAGGTCCGTAACGGTGGTCCTGGAGCAGATCAAAGCCAGGGCATGTGCAGCCCAGTGGACAGAGAATTCAAATATGAGCCCGATTCCACCCACCCTCCTTTCTCCCGCCCCCACCTCGCGAGCAGATGGGCGGGTGTGGCTGGTCTGAGGCGCCGGGCGTGCCAGGTCCTGGAGCACACAAGGTCGCTGCATGTGGGAGGTCAGTCGCTCTGGGCCACAGACTACTCATTAGGACTCTCCTGCCCTCAGTGACTTCCTGGCAGCAGGGGCTGAGGTCCAAAATGTTGATGTGGCAGGGAGAAGGTGCCAACATAGTCTGTGACCAAGAACCCTGTACTAGCGACCAATGTAGCTATCAGCTGAGCTTGTGTTGTTCTACTAGGTTTTTTTAAGTATATGTATTTATTTTGAGAGAGAGAGAGAGAACGTGCGCACACATGCACACGAGCCAGTCAGGGAGGAGCAGAGGGAGGGAGAGACAGAGAATCCCAAGCAGAGTCCCCACTGTCAGCACAGAGACCAATGCGGGGCTTGAACCCATGAACCGTGAGATCATGACCTGAGCCCAAGTCAAGAGTCAGACACTTAACTGACTGAGCCACCCAGGCGACCCTAGTAGTTTTTTTTTTTTTTAATTGAAAAAGTATTCCATGCATTCCATAAGATATTCAGACAATACAAAAAAAGAAAGAAAAGAAAAGAAAAGAAAAAGAAAGAAACAGAAGCCTCTATTGTACCCCAGGGCTTCAGTTGTCTTTTCCAGGTTAACAGTTCTGTGCATACTTTTTCCAGAAATTTTCCAAAGATAGGCATACACACACACATACACACACACACACACACGCATACACACACATATACATACATACATATATACATATGATGCTTCTTTAAATTTGGAAAATATAACACCCACAGCTCTGACCTTTGCTTTGTCACTTTGCAATGTTTCTTGGAAATTGTTCCACGTTAACATCGATGAATTGACTTTTTCTTCTTAATATGCACTGTTGTTTCTTGTTGTGAGGAGATACCACAACTCATTTAGCTAATAGCCTACTCACGAACATTTAGGTTTTCTAAGGGTTTTAGGGAACAAAAACTTCCACAACAAACATCTGTGTGACTTATTTCTTTGCTCCACAGATATGGGTAAGAGAATTCCCATTCTGCTATGGTCTCTTAGTATAATTCCCTTGTAAGCCTTTGGGAAGGAAGGATTTGGGTATTTTTGAGACCCTATAGAGAATGCCATTCCCAGGGCACCTGGGTGGCTCAGTCAGTTAAGCATCTGACTCTTGATTGAGGCCCAGGTCATGATCTCACGGTTCATGAGTTCGAGCCCCATGTCAGACTCCACACTGACAGCAGGGAGCCTGCTTGGGATTCTCTCTCTCTCTTTCTCTCTCTCTCTGCCCCTACCCCAATCTCTCTCTGTCTCTCTCAAAATAAATAAACATTAAAAAATATATAAAAGAATGCCATTCCCAAACCCTCTCTAACTGCTAGCAAAAAAGACTATATTTTTGTATCATCCATGGAGAACTATGTGTTAAACATTTAACATACGTTGCTTGATTCGGTGGTTTCCTTATGTGTTAACTATGCTTAGGGGTTTATATCACAAAAGATGTAGGAAAATGTATTTCCTCACATTTAAAGCTTCGTGCTCCCGAGGTCTCTGCGAAGAGCGCCTCCTGGAGTTGTGCAGTGTGGAGCCCCCTGTGCACCTGCTCCCGCTGGAGGACACCTGTCAGAAACACAAGCTGGCAGGCTGCCTCCTCCCGGCTAAAAATGCCAAAATATCCCCAGGCCTATCTCAGAAAATAGCTAGAATAACTTAGAACCAGCAAGAGAAATTTCAAAAATGATGACAAAGGCAGGCCAGAAAAAAAAAAAACAAATCCCGGTCTCACCAGAAAGTGTTGCAACAGCAAACAGGAAGACTCGATTGGCTCAGAGAAGTCACCTTCAATAGCAGAAGCAGCAGTAAGCCAAGAACCACAAGAATAAGAGCAAATACAGGTTTGTGTTTAAAGAAATTCAACGAGGCTGCAAAAAAGAGGAACTCAGGCGTCCGTTTTTTGGCTGGGTCATGCTCAGGCGTCCTCCATGGAAGAATCTACTGCATCACCAGTGGTTCAATGACTACAACTAAAGCGGCCAAGAAAAAAAAGTCAGTGATGCTCAAAGGTAAAACCCAACCCAGCCCCAGCATGTGGCTGAGCCAAACGAACCAAAGAAAAACAAAGGGAGAAAAGTGGTCTGACGGAGGCTGGGGCTTGTCTGACTCGATGGCACCAGGTGTATGTGTGGGAAAGAGACACAATTCGGCTATCTGTGTTCTCCGGGAGGACCATCCTAAAGGGCACATTTGAATTACTGACAGACTTCAAATGGCAACTTTTCAAATGGGAATCTTTGAAGTCAGAGAAAGCACTCTATGGACTGTCAAAAAGAAATTAGGTTGAAAAAAAAAAAAAAAAACCTTCCAGCTAACGGCAGAGTAAGCAGAGCATCTGAAAAATTAATCCTCTGAATTCCCTTGGAAAGTTCAAGGAAACCATCTTTCTAAAAAAATCTTCTTTAAAAAAAAAGATCAGGAACGTCTCTGGAAGAAGATGAAAAGGCTCCAGCCTGCAGCAAGAGATAAAGCAGTCATTTTTCTGGAAGATCAGCTGCCAACAACGGCCAGTCCACTTGTGCTAGGAGCCAGCAAGCTCCCCACACTTGACCTGTTGCCAGGGGCCCTCGATAGTTCCTGTTCTGCCACCCCGGGGATCCGCACCAACCCACCTGTCCACCTGTTGCATTGAGGTGGGGGGGGGGGGGGGGGTTGGGACGCTGAGAAGCAGACGCTGAGACAGGATTAGACATTTGAGAGATTTCTTGGGACAAATGTCGGTGTGGGATAAAGACGAGAGGCAGGTCAGACACCTGTGGAAGGAGAGAGGGAAGGAAGCCTTCTGTGGGAGGAGAGTCAGCGCACGGTGAGGCTCTGAAAACCTGCTGGCTGGACCACTGGGGAGCCCCTAAGCTTGGGTGGCCCGGTGGAGGGGTCCCAGGTCAAGCGGGAGTCACCCAGGACTAGTGCCTCTGCCGGGCTCGGTGATCGGCTGGAAGCAACACGAGGACAGTGTGGCCCCAGGACCACCATCACTGTGGAGCTGAAGGGGCAGAGCTGGGCTGCAGGTCACCAGTGCTCCCATGGGGCAGCGGGGTCTCCTGAAGGGGGAGGCCGGAGCAGCCACCTGATAGCCACCCCCGAGGCTGTCGTAATGCTTCTATTTACGTCACAAGCTGGTTAGCGTGTGACGTGCAGTAGTGGGGACGTTCCCAATTCCCATTCCCATCAGGACCATCTATATGTGTTCTCTTTCTTCAGCAGGGATGGTGGGTCTGATCGCCTCACATGAAGCATTTGAACGGGCCCTCGTTCCAGCCTCGGACCAGGAAGGAAATAGAATTGAATGGGAAGAG